TACCAAGCAATTTACAAGCAAAATTGAGATGAAAACCACTCCTCTAGTTTCTCTCTCTCTATGGTCGGCAATGGCAAGGAGAAGGGCTGATGAATTGTTTTGGTTAAGTGTAATGAGCTCAAAGATGTATAGGTAGTGGCCACTCACCATGGCAAAATGGTAAATAAGTGCAACCTTGCATTAAGTCAATATTTAATCTAATTTAATCATACTAAATCAAATTTCAGATAAATACACCATAAAATCACATAAATTATGATGATCGTAAAACATCAATCAATTCCCGGTGCGGCCGCCGATAAGGCCTTCAATTAACAGTTTAAACATAAAACATGAACAGATCAAATAAACAATCAAACAGATAGAATACAAATTAACATACATACTCAGTCAATCCAGTTCCAGTTTTCAGTCAGTCAGTTCAGTACTTTAATCAGTTTAATTATCAGTCATAATCAGTTCAGTTATCAGTCATAATCAGTTCAGTTATCAGTCATAATCAATGTTTATCGGTAAGCAGTGATGAGGGTTATTACAGTCATGGACGTCATGGGATACTCAAAAGGGTATGAAAGGTTAATACTTACCTCTTCCTCACTCTCATCCTCAGTTTCCATTGGTGTGGCTGCTTCGGATTCATCTTGCACCGTACTTACTAGTGAGTCTTCACTGGAGACTAGAATTGGGTCAACCTCCTGACCTTGGTTTTCATCTTCAGCTTGAAACTTCTATGGTAATATAAGCACCATATTCACTGACACCGGAGGGAACAAGCCAAATTGGACGACTAGCTGCACCTGCTTTCCCTCTTGGTCAACTTGTTCAATTACTTCAGGAGCATCTTCCATGCTACATTTTGGCACTTCTGTATTAGTAACTTCCTTCAAATGGTCTGTTTCTGTTGGTTTTTTGACCAAAAATGTCTGTTCAGCCATGAAGGCTTCAAACATTTCTTCCTCAACCATCCCCTTCGTTTGGCCTGCGATGACTTCATCTTCTATCTCACTATCACTTTCCATCAAAGCTTTTTCCAATCCTACCAAGCTAGATCTTTCCTTGGCCTTTAGTTCAGAATGAACTTTGGCCAACTGCTCCCTGCTACAACTACTTTTGTCTGGGAGAGTTGATTTCAGATTATGGTCTAACTTTGAATCTTCTTCTCCTTCTGCCTGGCTCTTTAACTGAACCAATGAAGAACTTTCCCCACCTTCTTTCAGATCCTTCTGGTACTGAGTGTACCTTCGTTGGATCTTCCTTCTTTGGGACCTGGAAATCACTGGGATCATATTTGGTTCTTTGGTTTTTGGATGCTTAAGCAATACCCAATTGTTTGGAGCCATTAAAAGAGGTTTGACCATCCTACCTAGGTTCCCAACAACATTTCTTTGGGCAGACATCTCCTTAGGTTTGTTCTGCATGACAAACCAATCTGGAACTCCAGGTACCCACGAACCAACTGACCCAGCTGTTGAACTGTTTCTTTCTTCCTTCGAAGCCATCTTTGAAGCTGGCTGTGAAGGCCACTGCTTGGCCCTGACTCCCTGTTTTGGACCTAACTCAGGCCTTTGATGAAGGTGGCCACTTTCTGTCCTGCGTGAGGCTAGTCTAAGAGGCCAATCTCTGGCTTTGATCCCATAAACCGAACCCTTCTCTGGTCTCCTTTCAGGATGACTGCTCTCCACTCTGTAATAATTAGGTGCTCTGGACTCATATAAAGGCGTTTTGCCTTTAGAATGCACTGTAGCGGCTGCTGGCTCAGCCATTAATGGCTGCTGCCTAATGTTAGTTGGATATGGCCTTTTGTTATAAGCATTTGTTGGTTTAGGACGCCTCTGCACATCCTTGTAATATTACTTCCCATCAATTGGAAGCCTTTTCAACCACTTGTAACTCAGCCTGCATCTGGGACACATTCTTTGCATGACAGCTGCTTCTAAAGAATCGTCATCCAGTGCTTCTTCATCAGAGTCTTCCCTCTAGTCTGAAAAACCTTGTTCTATAGCTGGTAGATTTTCAATGTCTTTCTTGACAGTTGTCTGGCTGGCAACATGCATCTACACATTGACTTCTTCCAATTCTTTCAAGGACAAGTTCTGGAAGTCTATCGTGATAACATTGGCTGCCACCTCTCCAATTTCTGGGAATGGATTAGTATCAATCCCCATGGCCTTTTCTACTTTAGTTGGGAATTTTAAACTCCCCTTTTGAATCTGCTCTTGGATCTTGTCTCGAAAAACAATGCAATTTTTAGTTGAGTGAGACCAAGAATTATGCCATTTACAATACACTTTTCCTTTAAGTTCCTCTGGAGATGGAATTTTGACTCCTTTTGGTAACTTCAGGAAATTTGTAGCAAGCAGACGATCAAAAATGTCATCTGCCTTTGTTAAGTTGATAGAGTATTTTTTATGAAGGTTTTTCTTTTTAAACTGCTGGTCAATTATTGTGTCTTTACGATCTCTGCTGCATCGATCTCATAATTAGGATCTCTATAATACGTCTCGTACGATGCATTACTTTGATCTTGTTCTTCTTCTAGTAATGCTTCGTACCTAGACACCTTATAGGTTAATTCCACCAAGTCTCTAAACTCAGTTAAGTCAAACTTCTTTCGAAGCCTAAACTCTAGACCATTTTGAGCCAATCTCACAAATTCAGGCTCTGGTAAGATGATCCTACATTTATTTCGTGCTCGTTTAAATCTGGCAATAAACTGAGTAGCCTTCTCATCAGGCCTTTGACTCAATCTTGCCAAGTTTGCCATGGAAACCTCTGGCTCTGTTTGGAAGAATTGGGCATGAAATGCCTCTTCCATTTGTTGCCAAGTTTGGATAGAGCCAGGTGTAAGGTTAATATACCATACAAATGCTCCCCTAGTTAGAGAATTTAGGAATAATCTTAACTTCATATAGTCACTATTGGTAAATTCATTGCACTGAGCCGCAAACCTAGCAATATGCTCAACTGTTGACTGGTTTCCATTCCCATAAAAAAGGGCAAAATCCGGTATCCTAAAACCTCTTGGGTATTCATGTACCCTATCTACCCATTCTGGGTACGGTTTCCTGTACACAAAAGTCTGAACCCCCTGAGCCATTAGTCCACACATCTCTCTAACAACATCAGCAATTTGGTCCCTAGGGACCATATTTTGTGCCTATTGAACCACTACTGGAGGAACAAACATAGGATTTGGTGGACAACCTTGTGCCTGGGGTCCTCTTAGTCCATAGGGTGGTACATTTGGGACTGGTTGTCCTTGTGGTACTGGCTGTTGTTGAGCATATGGATGACCTCTTTGAGCCTGTCCTACAAAAGGACCTGCGAAAGGTGCTGGAACAGGTGTTGTGTCTCTTCCAGTTGTAGGAAAACCTTCCAACCCCCGGGTGTAAATTCGAATAAAGGGTTAGTGAACCCCCTTGTGCCAGGTATGGCTTCGAACATGGGATTTGGAACCATCCTTATGCCATTTTATTGTACTAGGCTAGATCCACCAATTTGCATGGCTTCATTGTTAAGTAATGAGGCATTTTGACTTGCCATAGGCCTCGAAAGAGGCTCATACCAAGACTGAGGTGGTGGTCTTTCATGGTTTTGGTTACTAGTTTGACCATTAGTATATCCATTACTCTGCATAGGCTGTTTATCTCTAGTCAATCTTTGCTGAGAGACATTTGAAATTTCCTCTATAGGTCTTGTGTTTGTTGGTTGGTGGGTATTCATTAGTATATCTATTACTCTGCATAGGCTGTTTATCTCTAGCCAATCTTTGCTGAGGGGCATTTGAAATTTCCTCCATGTGTCTTGTGCTTGTTGGTTGGTGGGTATTCATTCGATCCAAAAAGGATGTTGCCCACCTTGCCATTGTGTTCATTAAGTGCTGTCCCATCGCATCTATTAGGCCACCCCATGGATTCATTGGCTGAGTAGATAGAACAGTGGATGGTCTAATTCCTTGGCCCCGTCCAATAGTATGAACATGTGGTAGTTGTTCCGAAGTGCTGGTCTGTTCGACCATAGGTTCTGATAAAATAGGTGTTTCCACAGGATGTGTTATCACATTATCCTCTAGATTAGGTATTTCTACCTCTCCTTCCACGCCTTCTTCCAAGTGTTCATTTTCTCTTTGTCTTCTACGTCTAGCCATTTCAATTAGTCCCACTGGGTGTGCCAAAAATATATGTTGGCTTTTTTGGCTTTCGAAGGTTATTTTTGTAATTGTGAGCGTGCCAACAAGGATCAATCAGTCCTTACAAAAATTTAATTGCCAACCAATTATCAAACGATTGTGTTTTAATTCTTTCAGCCTCAATGAAGAAGACTTTTACTGGTGGCTTTTCTTAGGAAGAATAAACTGACAATGATTAATTGAAGAACAATTGCAGTATTTCATTAAGTAAAACGAAAGACTCACAATGATCCAATTCAGCCTCGTAGAGATTTACAGCAACAATCTATTTAAAACTACTCCTATGAACGAAATGCAGTGCAGAAATTTGAAGTATAGAAATGTAAAGAACAAGAAATGTAAAAACTGGAAAAGAAATAAAATAGGATAAAACTGGTTTTCTAGATCTGAGTCTGAGTTTTTCTGGGGCTTTCTCTGCTATTTATACTTCTCAAGGATGACCATCGAACTGCACTTTTAACCATCGAATCGCTCATCCATGATCGCTGATCATGTTGCCTTATAGTTAGCTCCACTATGCCATTACCTGCAGTTAAGCTTCCCTCTTGATTTTGAATTTGAATATGAGTAACCGTTGAAGCCACATCACTTTGCATCTCTTTGTTGATCCAGTGCTACGCAAATCTTGTAAGAAACAACACTAACTGCCACGTGTACGACCACGATCGAAGACTTGAGCAGTCTTCCCATATTACCCTTATTCTACCACGCATCGAATTATAATTGGCTTATACAAAATATGTAGCCAACAAATACACACAACAAACAATGTTGTATATGTAACCAACCCATCACTGAAAAATAGAGCATAATGACTTCTTCAACTGCTTATTTGTTCACTGATTTTTCAGCCTTCTCTTCTTCCTCATCCTCTGATGATGAAAATGCTGATGCAAAAATTGTTTCCCTTGTGGATCTTTATGAGATAAATAATGCTAGTATGATACAAATACTGATAGGAAGTGATCAATTAAAGAAAAAAGGTGGCTTTGTTGTAAGACATAAGTACATATGTCGCGAAAAAAGAAAGGAAAATGATCAATTGGTTGCGGATTATTTTGCTGTAAATCCAGTTTATTCATCTAACACATTTTGGAGACATTTTAAAATGCGTCGTGATCTGTATTTACGAATTTGCATGCCATTGAAGCACATGACACTTATTTTGTTCAAAAAAAAGATGCAGCTCATATTCTCATATTGTTTCCACTTCAAAAGACAACTTCAACAATTAGAATGCTCGCATATGAAGTGGTAGTAGATGCAATTGATGATTATGTGCAAATTGGGGAAAGTACAACAATTAAAAGTTTGAAACACTTTTGCAATTCAATTATCGAAATCTTTGGACCTGAATATCTTAGATCTCCATCACCAATTGATGTTGCTAGATTACTTGCTATTGGGGAGGTTCATGGGTGTGGACTGGCCTTTTTCCGCACCCCGGCTTTCAGAAAGGTTTGGAAAGAAGGCCTCACAGTTCGGACTCCCGCGGTTCTGAATCTAGTCTCACAAGTGCAATGTGAAACTGATAAACATCAAAGAGTCCAAATTCAACAAATCGTTTTGGAAAATCGATTTTAAATCAAATAATGCTAAAATTAGACTGCTTTGCCAGATACAGAGTTGCCACCTAAATATTTTATTTTTGGAAAAATTTAGGAAACCTATGACTCGTGCCAAAGGCCACGCGTCCGTCATCACCAAAGTTGCCTCGGCTCGAGAACTTAGGTACGAGAGAGGAAGATCATGAATTGAGCACCCCCGCTCGCCCGATCGAAGATCGGCCTCTACTAATCATGATATGATGTTTTATAAACATTATATGCTCTTGTTCCAGTTATTTACACTAGCTTTATTATGTGATGCGCACAAGCAAGTGTAAACTAGTTTGCTAGACTTGGAACAATTCAACTCATGTTTGTTTGAGAAAATGGTTTGAATTTGCCACCTCAAGTGGGCTTAAAGATGCGGATTTGCCACCAAATATAGTGAGCTTAAAACATGATTTGCCACTCAACAAAGTGGGCTTAAAACGTGCATTTGTTGAATCGTTCCAATTCAAACAACAAGCCTTCATCCACAGGCATTCATGCAGTTTAGCATTTGAGCACATAACCTCATGGCAAACATGCTAATCATGGCAACATTCACACTTATGCAAGTATGCTAAAGCGTAAAACTTACCGAGTACTCCAAGCCAAAACAGAAACTAGTTAGAAAGATGCATGATCCTAACTATGTTAAGTGTCTAATGCAACACATGCAATATGCAATTAATAGGCTCGGCTACTAATAAGACATATGGGTCAATTTGATAACATGCAGTTAAACACGTATTCAAATAAGTTATCGAAATGGCAATGCAGTTTGAATGATACGCCGAGCCTCTGTGCATGCAATACAAATGAATGGATGCAAGCATAAGATATGCTAATCGAAACACGCCCCTAATTTAACCATCAAAAGCGATTAAATAAAAGGGAGAAAGACGTGGGGTTGGAAAACATACACACACGCACGCACACTTATTACAACATTACGCCCTCGCGAACGAGGGTCCGAATGAATAAAAGCTAACTAGCTAGCTACGCTAATTAAACTAACTAATTATTACAAACCGAAAACTAATTAACTATTCTAGCTAACTAATTAAATAATTACATCGCATCTAATTAACTACTTAGCTAATTAATGGATTGCAAGTCAACTGCAAGTAAGCTAAGTAATCAACTACTTAGCCCCAGGAAGTGAGGGATGCATGCATGCTCGATCCTTCACTCGAAAAGCCACTGTCTTCCTGCTGCAAGCCTCTGTTTGCACATTTGATCACTGAAAATTCTGCCAACTTCCAAAACACCTCTGCTTTACCTTACCATCACACTGTGCAAAAATTACTGATGGCTGACAAGAGGGACAAGGGGCCAGTCGGCTACCAATAGTGGTTGGTCGGCTACCATTGGTGACCGGTTGGCCACTGCTGGTTTTTACTTCCATGCTGCAACAGAGAGCAAAACAGTGTATTCTCACAGGTTGTTTGTACTGTTTACCCTCCTTATCATCACACAAACTCAAAGGAGAGAAACTCTTGGCCCTCAAACCATCAATCAAGCAATTTCCAAGCATGATGGCTAAGGGACAAAGTTTGTACAAGTTCAATAAATGCACAAACATGACCAAAATGACCACCACCCTATCATGCATGATCAAGGGCAATGGTGACCTAGGAAAATAACACATTTCATCACTTTGAGTATGAAATGTTCTATTTTTCTTGTGTTCAAATTAACGTCCGATTTGAACACATGCAATGCAACACAAAGAATGCTTATCTTGTATACTTTTACTTGCCAATTTTGTTTACTCATTTTAATTACCAAACCATTCTTTAGTCCATTTGTCAATTGGTGAGTGTCTTCTAAAGTGAAAGAAGTGTCAACCAAGGGGTGGTTTAAGGCATGAGAGAAGCTTCATGCCGTTGGTAATGAATCCTCAAATGAGGATTAAACCATTAAGCATGTGCCTCAACCTCAAGCTTAAACAACCCTAAGGTTGAAACAACTCTCAAAACAAATGAAAAAGTGAAGAAATGAGAGAGATTGCAGAGATTTTATGTACTGAAATTGAGTGATAAAAGCACTAAAAATTTGCAACCAACTCACACCAATGATGCTTAAAGCCTTAAAACACTTAACTAGTGAAGAAATTAACACTATAACTATGCAAAACAAGACTCAAACAGACTAACTAGCCCAAAATAGAGCTAAAACATGTTAAAATAGAGTGTAAAACTTGCTGGACTCAAGCTAAGTAAGGCTAGAAAAACATACTAACATGTGATGCTAACATGTGAAGCTAACTAGGCATGCAAGAAAGACATGAGGAGGGGAGGCTAACCCCTCCAATTTTGGACTTCAAAATAAGTTTTTGGCCACTGAAAATACTTTGAAATTCAGTGGTTAAAAGGCTAAAAAAAGTTGATTTGAAAGTGATGAATAAAGGCAAAAAGGTATACAAGCTAACGAGTAAGAAGGGTGAACCACCCCTAACTAAAAAAGGCTCAAACCACGACTTTTAAGACACAAAAATAGAGGTTTTTTTGGTTCAAAACCAGCCTCAAAACAGTTTAAAAAGATGAGAAAACAAGTATACTAAACAAGTGAACAAAGTAAGTAAACTACCTCTTGAAGCAAAGAGCGACTCTAGGCACAAATCCAAGCTAAAACCATTTGCTAGCGCTCAAAACAAGTCTCAAGGAACCTCAGCTCAAAGAGAAGTAACTTTGATCAAGGTAGTGTATGTAAAAGTGTAGAGAAAACTAGCTACAAAACACAAAATTGTAAGAGACAGAGAATTTTGTTCCAAAATTGTTAACCTCTCAAAATGGGGGAGGAACCCCCATTTTTATAGAAAAACAATCTTTGAGCTTAGGAACATTCCACCATACATATGTAAGCAGATGCAGCTCAATGTGCTAACTGCTGGCACATCTGTCAACAAATATCTGGAAAAAAGCATTGGTGGTCGTCGGCCACACCCCTGGCCGACAACCATTATCCACGGCCGATAGCCTATGGTGGTGGCCGACAGGTCACCAAAAGTTCTAGGTAAGAAAAAAACAAGGTTTCGGTCCAAAACAAGGCACAAAACAGATAAAGTTTCAAGGCTCAAAGACAGGGCACTCCGCTAAGGACTTCGAACACTCAAAACGAACACATGCAATCACAATCACCATATGCACAAGTGATGACGTCCAAGTCTTGAGGACGGTCAAAAATAGGGTGTCTACAATGGGTTTCTGGGTACGTTGGGAAGTTTGGATTGCATGTATTGGGAGTGAAAGAATTGTCCGACGGCATGGCAAGGTCAATATATAGGCCATCAGAAAAAGCCAACCATAATTTTTGAAGCAATAGTTTCTTATGACTTGGCATGCATTTTTTGGAATGTCTGGATCACACAATGACTTGAATGCCTTGGATCATTCGCCCTTATTTTCTTATCTTGCCCAAGGGAAAGCTCTGCCTACTAATTTCACAGTTAATGGACACACTTACAATATGGGTTATTACTTTGCTGATCGTATATACCCTCCATGGGCAACACTAGTGTAAACAATCTCTTCTCCTCAAGGAGCAAAGAAGCAACCACTTTGCTTGGTTAGAGTTTTCCAAAACACCTTTCAGAAAATTCTCCTTTCTTATTTTCCGTATTTTTTTGTTTTTACTGAATTTTTTTAATATTTTAAGCAATTTTTTTTTAGACATACCTAACATAAATAAACCTAAAAAGTAAAAAAATTGTGAAAAAAACCTTTTAAAAATTCACTAAATACCAAAAATACAAAAAAAAAAAAATACGAGAATTCAATACATTTTTTGTATTTTTATGTATTTATTAATTTTTTAAAATATTTTTTCACAATGTTTTTACTTTTTAGATACATCTAAGTAAGATGCATGTAAAAAAGTAAAAAAAAAAAATGTTTAAAAATTTAAAAATATTCACTAAAAACAAAAAAAAAACACAAAAACACAAAAACCAAAAAACTTAATTTTCAAAAAAATTAATCCAAAAAACTCAAACTAAACACACTGAACATTTTTCTATAATGCAAGAGTCAGCAAGGAAGGATGTAGAGCGAGCATTCGAAGTGCTCCAATCCCGATTTGCTATTGTAGGTGGTCCAGTAGGTTTTTGGGATCCCAAAATCCTTGGTAACATAATAAAGACTTGCATTATATTGCATAATATGATTGTCGAAGATGAGAGCGAGAGACTCCTATCTTGATTTAGATTATGAAATATCATCAAGCACCTCAGCAGTAGTACTGTCTACTACCAGTAATAATGACTTTGAATCGTTTATGTCCCGTCATTTAGGTATTAGATATAAGAATACATATCATGCCCTCTGCAATGATTTAATTGAACATATGTGGCAACTTTGAAAAGTAACTTGACCATGTGGACAAGAGAATGAATTGTTTGTTGGCTTTTTTGATTGGGAGGTGTTTAGGGTAATTGATTTGTTAGTGTTTGTTGTTGTTTTGGTAGTAAACATGGTCTTACACCTATACACATATATCAGTTTTGCAACTAAATGCATGAAATGAATATATAATATTTTTGGATGTGGTCTTATCTTATTCGAGATGATTATTGGATTTCATTATTTTACTGTATTGAATGCATTAATTGACATTTTACTGCTATCTAACTTTTATTTGTGGTTTTTAACAGTTGACTTTGCATCACCAATTTAATTATGGGAACAAGTCAACTACCGAAATTTTATTTAAAGAAATTATACTTTGTGTATCTAAAGTATTATTGGTCCTTCAATAACATTCAAAATCCACTTTACTGTCAATATACAATTTACTGATCTAAAATGACACTGACCTTTTTCATTTGTATGATGATAATACTGTGTAATTTGTTTACCCTCTACAAAACTATTATTTGTTATTACTTTGATCTTGAAAATAGCAAATTTTTTCCATAGCCAAAAAAAAAAAAACTACTGTTAAATTACCATCTCCAAATTACAATTTGACAGTAGTTGATGCTATTTTCTTTTGTTTTTTTTTTTTAATGTACATCAGTCGTGCCATTTTGAAGTTGATGGGAACATCAATGTATGCATTGTCATGTTCTGCAAGCCTCAGAACATTGAATTGGCATGAGAAGGCTCAAAACCATTCAAGGCCACACCTACCTCATTCATGATCAACCACCTCATTCAAGATGTACATCTACCTCATTGATTATCATATACTGTCTCACTTATCTATAAAGTAACATTACTATGTCTGTTGACAGTAGTTACCATCTCCAAATTACAATTTGACAGTAGTTGATGCTATTTTCTTTTGTTATTTTTATTTTTTTTTAATGTACATCAGTCATGCCATTTTGAAGTTGATGGGAACATCAATGTATGCATTGTCATGTTTTGCAAGCCTCAGAACATTGAATTGGCTTGAGAAGGCTCAAAACCATTCAAGGCCACACCTACCTCATTCATGATCAACCACCTCATTCAAGATGTACATCTACCTCATTGATTATCATATACTCTCTCACTTATCTATAAAGTAACATCACTATGTCTGTAGGTTTGTGGTGTGGACGAAAACAAGAAGTAGTACCATAATGGCAAACTGAAAGCAAAAAGCAAAACTAGAAACTTCACATAGCCGGTCGACCGGGGGACATCCGGCAGGACGACCGACCAATCAACCGGTGGATTTATTCTCCACGTCAACTGCAGACAAGCTTCACAATTGAGGGTTCAGCCTTTCTGTTCCTTTATTTGTTGCTTACCTATTTATACCATTTTGCTTTCTTGTTCACACCATTTTGCAACTATTATGTTCCTTAACATTTTCAGATAATCATGCCTAGAACCAAAAGAGCAAAAAGCGAACCTGGACCGTCCTCTAACCTTGTTCCACGTCAACAACTACCTCAACAACATTATCCAACTCAAGATTTTTTGACTTACAGTCATGAACAAGCCCTTTCAAACTTCTACAGTCGACCTATTGTTACCAGTAGAAGGCTAAATCTTGGTCCTCAATATGATGCTCTGTTGGTTACCAAACTTGAAACTATGGGGTGGATAAATTTGATCAATTTACCACAGAAGGTATATCCTCATCTTGCTTCTCTTTTTTATGTTCACTTGGAGCATATATCTAAAGATGATGGAGACTATGCTATTAAGTCTTATGTGAAAGGTAAACACATAGAATTTGACATCCCACTTTGGCATAAATTATTGGAGTTGAGCAAAGGGAGATACAAGTCTACTTTCACAATGAGTATGAAATGATTGCTATTGTTGACAACATAACTGAAGTATATTCTAATATTTGTGAGAGTAGATTTACTGGAAGTAATTTGCAAACAAGACATTTGAAACTCTACCTTCGTATTCTCCACCGATACATAATAGAAAATGTCATTCCGAAAAGAGGACATTCCGGAGGACATTTTGATGTCGTGCCAGTTTTTAATGCTTATTTGCTCTACTATTTTGAAGTTGGCCACAAATTGGATTTATGTTATATACTCATGAAAGTAATGGTGGTTGCAAATCTTAATATCAATGGCCAGTCATTAATTTTTGGAGCTTTGCTTACAAAAATTTTCAAACCTTTCAAGATCAGACTTGTAGGTAAAGCAGAAACAAAAATATCAGCTACGCTTTTAGAGTACACACTCACCCGAGCTAATGGTGGTGATTTGATATTGAAAAGTCTGAATGCTCCAAATGCAACCAACAAATGATCCCCAACATGATGAGAATGCCATGCCACCCCACCTTAACAATCTCAATATTGGACTGATTTTTTGTCCGTGGAACAAGAATGACATAATCAGCGCATTCGATGAGAACAACACATGGCGAATCAATTTGATGCATTTGGCACCGCTCAGAACGCATTAATTCAACAATTTGATGAGTTTCATATAGACACTGAAAGACGTCATAAACAAGCGACCAATTGCATTGAGCAATTGAGCACCGAGTGACTGACATCTACTAGCACTACTTCCCTCCACCACCACTTGACACTGACCTTTGAAGTTATGGACAGAGAGACTGGATGTAGTTTCACTATATGATTTTTATTTTTATTTTTATGGATGTAATAGTAGTTTGTTTTTTTTTCTGTTTTTTTTTTTTTTTGGTTATACTAAAGTAGAAATGTTTTTTTTTTTTTTTTTTGGGTTTAATGGTTGTACTACAAGTGTGTGTATGTGTATGTGTATTTTTTTTCAATGGATGTACTACGAGTGTGTGGTTTTTCTTTTTTTTTTATTAATGTATATCCTAGTACTATGTGGTTTTTAAGGTATATCATAGGTAAGTAATTTAAATAAATTCCTATACTTTATGAGACAAGTTATCAGTAATAACTACTTTTCATCATTATTTATTTGTAAAATTAAACAAAAATTCAAGAAATATCCTTCATAGGAGCAGATCAATAGTAAAAATAATTTCACATCATTACTATAAGAAGATCATGACTACAACACTCAGAACATTCAATTACTAAAACAATAATACATTAAACAAACAAATATGAAAACTGATGTGAAACTAATTGGGCTAAAAAAAGCGGTCTTCATAAAACAATCAAGCAAATCTATTTGTTGATTGAAATAAGATTTGAAGCTCTTCATAGTAAGACATTTGCATAGGATTTAAATTGGTCATATCCATTGACATTATTTTATGTTCCTCATTTCATTGTTCTCTTTCATTCATCATAGATAATATTTTCAGTTGTTCCTCCATGTTTTCTGCCTTTCTTCGACGTTCTATTGCCTTTTGTTTATATTCTATCGCCTTTTGTTCATCTCGATCAACACTTCTAGAGGACATAGTTGACAATACTTCAACAATTTTAGACTAGTTGACTACCATTTCATCAAACCTAACATCGTGACTTGCTTGTTTCTTCAACTTATCTTTCGCAGCCTTAGTACCAATTGGTCGTGTTGATGTACTACTCCGTTGTTGGTCCAAATATATTGTTGTTGGGTTCCGACACCTCACCTTCAGTTGCTGGAGTCGAATATGGATTCGCTGGTGGTGTGGGTTTCTTGCCTTGTGTTCTAGTTTCATTCGACTTATAACTTTGGCGCAAATTTCCCAACTTGTATCAAATGTGAAGTGGTTTTTTTGGATTGCATGATACATGCACTTAGCTTCAGCAACCTGAAAATGGAATGCATAGTAAGTATAACAAGTAGATACAAATCAGAAAATATATATGGTATAACAACCAATAAAAATCACCTTGTCTGCCTCATTTGTTCCACTTTGTTGTCTCAATTGAATTTGTTCAAGAAAACCATATAACTTATTAATTGTCTTTTGCATCACAGACCAACAGTGAGACAAAGAAATACAGTTTTGATTTGATTGACTATTCAATTGTGAATTAAAATAAACGAGTACCCGTTCCCAGAATATTGCCATGGCCTGACTATTATCTGCAATGGAATCTTGAGAGACGGCCAACCAAGATCTACATAAAATTTTATCTTCTATAATAGTGAGCGCTTTACCACGAGGACTACGTGAAATTTCAAAAATAATACTTACATCATTGCTCTGGAAAAAAGTTTGTGATTCGTCAAACATTTCAAAATTTTCCATAGTTTGAAGGTAAATTTTTTACAACTAAACCAGTTCAAAAAAAAATCAATATGATCGAAAATTGAAGTTGACAGTGAAACATATCGTAAAAGAAACAAGTGACAAATTAAAGAAAACCTAAAGATTTAAACTAACAATATCCAGCTTATAAAAGGAATAACTGAAATATTAGACAACACAAGAATATTGAAGGAAATTATAACAAAGGAAACAAAAACTGTAATGATATTGTGAAAGTAAAACAGAAATCAACTCATATTTTATAGACACAATTTCTAACGGTAACTTTGATTAAACCTCTGGAAAACCAACTTTGATCAACCTTTGCAAAACTAACAGTAACCTTATAGGGCAAACATCCTGCAAAAGCAACAGCTAATTTTAGATAGCATATTTGAATCTTCATGCATCCTCCAACCCTCTGCTACACTTCCCGCAATTGTTGGACAAATATTTGGTATTGTTGGCACACAATTCACACAATTTTGCAAGCCTGTATACACAGAGCATGTCTGGGAAGACATCTGCCCGGTCGTCTAAGGGCATGCATTGCTGTGAGAAGCTATCTACGAATCGAATGACTGCGGAGGACAACCGGCCGGACGTCCAATCGGTCGTCCAGTGTTGCCAAACCAACGGCACGAAACAGTGAAATGGTGCAGACTCCCAGAAATCCTCTATTTGGTGAAAGAGTTTTGATATTCTCGATTTGATATCGATTTGGTGAAACCGTTAGAGCTAAAAAAGGATTGTTTTTTTTATCAAATTCAAAATTGATAATCATTTGATACAACATTGGAGATGGGCCTGAGGTATTGTTTAGTTGCCCAAAACGAGACACAATATAATAGAATAATTATTCGTAATTTTTTGTATTTATTTATGGGATGATCATTGTTTTTAATAGTGTAGGATAATAAATCAAACGTGATAATAAATATTTTGATAAAATGATTATTTTATTTTATTTCATTCTATTGAACCAAATAAGTATTTAAAAAAATAAATTATCACTAATATGTTTATTCAAAATTTAAGAGTATCTCCAGTCAATAACAAAATGACTAGCTACCATTATATTTTAGTAATGAATATTGTCAAAATATTATAATTTAGCAATGTTACTTCAATGGTGTAAATGCAATTTCTTCAATTTTTCTCACACATGCAAAGTAGAAGGGTTATATATGAATCACATCATGAGAATAAATATCTATGAGGTTCAGCCAATATTGAATGTGATGTGCCTTTCAAATTGTATTGGACCATGTATTTAATTTCTCTTAATTTTCTCATATGTTTTATTCTTTTGTTTTAGACAAAGCACACAACCACCTGATATGTCAAACCTACCAGATAATTTCTCTATTATGAAAGACACAGCAATAAAGAAGATTGTCAAATTTTAACTCTAACTAAACTTTATATCAAACATGACACAAATTTTAATAAATTGAAAATACCATTGAAAAAGCTCAAACAAAATATGAAGTTTAAAGTGTATCATAGAGACTTTGAATTCGATGACCATTGATTACCTTGTATTATTTGAAATTTAGTTGTGGATATTTGAAAATTTACTAAGAATGAACCTAATATGACCTTGCATTAGACAAATTTTTTTTTTTTTTTGGAGGGGGGAGGTGGATTGCATTAGAGGATTGCTCCACCTAAAAAATAAAAGGATAAATTACAAATACATCCTTAAAGTCTATTTAAAATATAGATTATCTCCTGTAATTTGAAAAATTACAAATACTCCCTTGTTAGAATTTGTTATTTAACAAAATTAACTAAAAAAATAAAATTCCTAACTGCTCTCCTATATAATAACAAAAATGTCTTAATTATTAATGAAAATAAATTTTTGACATCATTAAAAAGTGTTAATTGAATTAATGATTTATTAATAAAATGGACTATTTGTTATGAAATTAAAAATTTCAAGAGGTAGGATGAAATTTCCAAAACCACAAAGAAAAGTTTGTATTTTAAACAAAGCTCATAAGATGTATTTGCAATTTACCCAAAATAAATTATATATATATATATATAATTGTGTGTGGAAGGAAATCATGTAGTTCATAAACTAAGACACTGATTTTTTTTTCCCCCCAAAAAAGTACACAAAAAAATAAAAGTAGGTGAAATGTGTGATCTGGGTAGATTTATTTTGAATGTAATTTATTTTCGGTAGATTTTAGTTGGCCAGAGTCTGCATAGCGCTATTTATACACGGAAAATGAGTAGGAGCACTAATTAGTGCTACCACTAATGATGTGGCAGTAGGCCCACCATGAATGATTTGATGTTTTGGCCTTAGTGTTGTATTTTTTTTCTTTTTTTATTGAGTGCCATGTCATTAGTGGTCTTTTTAGAGTTTCAAAATTAGTGGTCTCTATCATTATTAATTTATACACATTAAACTTCATAAAGATACTCATTCTTCCCATAAAAGGATAACAAATTTTGGAAATTGTATAGGCCCCTAGTCATGAAATAGTTGCTCATTTTGGTTTTTGTTTAAATTTTTTATACCATTTATAATTAATTGCTTCCATGTATGCCAAAAACAAAGCTCAAGAGAAACATGAAACGAGGTTTATTTGAAAATTTTTAATTTTAAGACATACAACCAACCTCAAGAGGAACATTTATGCTGTGTTTGATTGGAGGATTTGAGGAGGGATTTGAAAAGAGAAATGGAAAAGGTAGGTGAAATGTGAATAAAACATATCTACATTTCATCTAGTTTCACACACCTTTTCCCTTCCCCTTTCCAAATCTTTCCCCAAATCTCCCAACCAAACACAGCATTTTCAGTAGATTTTAGTTGGCCAGAGTCTGCATAGTGCTATTTATACGCATTAAACTTCATAAAGATACTCATTCTTCCCATAAAAGGATAACAAATTTTGGAAATTGTATAGGCCCCTAGTCATGAAATAGTTACTCATTTTGGTTTTTGTTTAAATTTTTTATACCATTTGTAATTAATTGCTTCCATGTGTGCCAAAAACAAAGCTCAAGAGAAACATGAAACGAGGTTTATTTGAAAATTTTTAATTTTAAGACATACAACCAACCTCAAGAGGAACATTTATGCTGTGTTTGATTGGAGGATTTGAGGAGGGATTTGAAAAGAGAAATGGAAAAGGTAGGTGAAATGTGAATAAAACATATCTACATTTCATCTAGTTTCACACACCTTTTCCCTTCCCCTTTCCAAATCTTTCCCCAAATCTCCCAACCAAACACAGCGTTAAGATTGTTAGGCACCAAAGAAAACTGGAATACCAACTTATAAATAGTTAAAAGTTGAAGAATTGATTAAAAACTGCTATAGAAAGTTCATACAGGGACACCCTTTGTAGTTTCTAAGTGACTTTGTGCATTGAAAGTCTTCTGTTACTTCTACTAATTGGTAACAAACTAACAACGTAGCTGGTTTCTGCAGATCTCTAATTTCAGTACCTCAGCACACAGATTTGCATCTAAGATAGCGTTAGTTAGAAAGAACGGAAAGCTATTTTAAAAACAACGAAATGTCCTCCAAATACCTTTCCAAAGGAAGGAAGCGGTTGCCATTTGATTTGGTCAGCACGTTCTTTCCACTTCACGATCATGATCATGGCTCGTTTCCCTTAACTAATAATCTTCTCCCTTTTTTGGAACCTTCACTGGCATAATTACAGGATAGAGAAATTGATTGCTAAGGTTTTGACCTCAAGATCAATAGGGACAGAAGCTAGGCCTGGTAGGAAAGCGGAGATTGTATGCGCTGCACAAACAAAGTGATATGCTGGAGAATGAATGAGCTTCTTCTAATCATGCAAGAATGATGCCGAGTGAACCACTCCTGTAATCTTCCCTAAGAAAAGGAATTTGAAATCTAAAGGGGCAGCCGAAAGCTTTGTTTCCGGTTACTTGCTTACTCTCCTACTTAGAAGAAGGATCTGTGGCAGATTCTTTAGATCTGGATAGAGTCTTGCTTAGTAAAGATGTAGCTTCATAAGATCATGATAGAGTCCCCTAACCTTTATATTAGACTAGAAGAATGCTAGCGCACCCTTGCAGCCTCTTTCTTGACAATTACCATAAAATTCGTAAGATAGGATAAAGGTCTTTCTAATATACTTGCAGAATAGATAGGGTACTGTCAATCTAGCAGTCATTCTGTAAGTTATTAAGTTATGACGGGAAATTGGAAGATAGAAGATCTGACCAAACCTAGTCTTCGAAGTGTTCCAAACCAATGGTTACATATGAACCCCGAGTACTGTTGAAACCAATAACAATGGTTGAGAGCGAGAAATATGTATGGAAGAAATATGTGTGTTATGTGTGATATATATCAGAATCAATGTACAAATCTCTCCTATAGGAGAGATTATAGACAATCTACAGACAGCATTATCAGATTAGGACCTAAAGGTGGCCCAAAGTGTCAATCACCGAAAGTGGCCCAAAGTGGCTGAAAGGCCAAAGGCTAAAGGCTAAAGGCTAAAGGCTAAAGGCTAAAGGCTAAAGGCTAAAGCATATACACTAATACACACTAACATCTCCTCTCAAACTCAACGAAGATAAGCATCAACCAACTTGAGTTTGGAAACCAAATCATTGAAATGACCAAGAGGATGAGCCTTGGTGAAAATATCAACAGGCTGATCAGCAGAAGCAATAGGAAGGAGGTGGACGTTGCCAAGAGTAACATGTTGACGAATGAAATGGTAGTCAATCTTAGTATGTTTGGTGTGATCATGGAAGACATCATTATGAGTAATCTGAATGGCACTCTGATTGTCACAGTGGAGAGAGGTAGCACTAGAGAAGGAAACACCCATGTTAGTAAGAAGTCAACAAAGCCACAGAAGTTCCTGAGTAGTGTTAGCAAGTGCATGATGTTCATCTTCTGTACTAGAACGAGCAATGAGAGATTAAGCGAATCCCCTAAGAAGAAACAGAAACCCGTAGTGGAGCGGCAATTAGTAGGATCCCCAGGCCAATCAGCATCAGAAAAGGCACGAAACTCAAGAGACGAGTGGGCAAAAATAATGAAGTCCATAGAACAAGGTTCCATTGAGGTAGCAAAGTATGCGAAGCAGAGCAATGTAATAAGGGGTGCGAGGAGCCGACATGTACAGACTAACAAAATGAACGGCATAAGTAATGTCAGGATGAGTCACTATGAGATAAACATGACTGTCGACCAGCTGGCGATAGAGTAGCATCTGAGAGAAAATGGTCAAGAGGAGTGAGACAAGTCTAAGTATCAATCGGAGTAGAGCCAATCTTGCAATCAATAAGAACGGCATGAGCCAAAAGATTGGATGTATATTTGGCCTGGGATAAATAATAACCAATAGAATCATGAGAGATTTCAAGACATAAGAAATAATTGAGAATACGAAGGTCTGTCATCTCAAAGTGTCGGCTGAGAGATTGTTTAAGGCTAAGAATATTAGTCACATCATCACCGGTAATAATCATATCATCCACATAGAGAAGAAGAAGAATGGTGGCATAAGTAGTTGTCCGAACGGATAGAGCAAAATCATATGAGCTGGAAGTGAAGCCAAGATCATGAATGGTGGAACTAAACTTAGCAAACCAAGCATGAGGGGCTTATTTGAGACCATAGAGAGCACGCTGAAATTTGCAAACCTGATTAGCCAAATAGGTAGACCTAGGTGGAGGTTGCATGTAGACCTCCTCTAAAAGATCACCATTAAGAAAGGCATTTTTGACACCCATTTGGAAAAGATCCCAGTGACGAGTAGCAGCAACATCAATTAAGTTGCGAACATAGGTAAGTCTAGTAACAGGAGCAAAGGTCTCCTCATAGTCAATGTCATATTCCTAAGTGAAGCCTTTTGCAACAAGGAGAACTTTGTGCCACTCAATAGAACCATCAGAGTGAGTCTTGATTTTGTAAACCCATTTGCAACCAATTGCAGTTTTTGCAGGAGGAATATCAACAATGGTCCAAGTTTGAGTTTTGTTGAGAGCCTAAAGTTCATCAATCATAACTTGCTGCCATAGAGGATTAGTACAAGCCTCGCAATAGGAGGTAGGTTCATGAGTAGAAAAAACAATGGAACCAACAATATAATCACGAAGATAAGCAGGTTGTTGAGTTATCCGGGTTAGACAACTAGTGTGAAGAGCATGAAGAGATATAAGGAGCTCAATTGGAGAGTCATCTAGTGAGGGAATATTAGAGACGGGATCGAGTGGAGGCAAAGCAGAACCATCAGAGGGAGCAGGCGAGGTGGGATCAGGTGTTGGCAAATGCGTCTCTAAAGATGAGGAATCTACATCAAAATCATTAAAGAAGAGATCTAGAGAGGGATGAGTAAATAGAATGGAAGTAGAAGATGATGATAAGTGGAACAAGGATAAGGATGAAAACATTTTATGCTCCAGAAAAACACATGACGAGAGATACGAAGACGTTTAGCAATAGGATCCCAACATCGATAGCCTTTATGTTCAATCATATACTCGAGAAAGCAACAAAGACGAGAATGGGGTTTAAGTTTGGTGTGTTCATGAGGTTGGAGAAGGACAAAACATGCAGACCCAAAAACCCGAAGATGGATATATGGAGGACGAGTGTCATGCAAACATTCATAAGGAGTTTAATTGTTGATGATAGGAGTAGGGACACAGTTGATAGTGTAAACAGCAGCAAGTGTAGCTTCCCCCCAAAATTTTCAAGATAAGAGGAGAGAAGAAGAGCTTGATTAGTGTCAAGAATGTGCTTGTGCTTGCGTTCAGCATGTCCATTTTGTTGGGAAGTGCCAGCACAGGAACGATGAGGCTGAGTACCCTGATTCTGAAGGAAAGACAGAAAATCAAGATCCTTATATTCCATACCATTATCAGATCGGAAAATTTTAATAGTTTTAGAGAATTGGGTTTGAACCATTTTTGCAAAATTGTGATAAAGTTATTTGAGTTCAAACTAATTTTTCATAAGGAACAACTATGTAAACCGTGAAAAATCATCAACAAAAATAACAAAATAACGTGATCCCCCCATGGTAGCAATAGGTGATGGCCCCAAAATATCAGAATGTATAAGATCAAATGATATAGAAGACACAAAAGTACTTCTATTAAATGATAATGCGGGTTGTTTTGCAAGTTGACAAGGCAAGCAATCCAAATGATTTGAAATGATATGACCTAACTAACCAGCAGATACTAAAAACTTTAATCGACTAACAGTAATATGTCCTAAATGACAATACCAAAGATGAAAAAGGGGACAAGACGAAAACAGATGTAGGAGTAGCAAAGGAGGTGGATTCTGGAGCATGAAGATGAATGAGCTCATAGAGACATCCAAGCTTATAGACAATCCCAAGAGTCTGTCCTGTCTGAGGGTCCTGTACCAAACAAACATTAGCAGAAAATGTGACGATTAGACTAAGCTCACATAATTGACTAATAGAAATAAGGTATAAAGTGAGGACATGAATAAAATAAACATTTGATAGGGATAGATGAGATGTGAAAACAGAACCAACATGATTTACAAACATAAGAGAATCATCAGCAGTATGAATGAAGGGAATATGAGAAGCAGAAGAGATAGAAGAAAATATAGTAGAACTAGAAGTTATATGATTACAACATGCTAAGTCAAAATACCAAGAAGATATACCTAAAATCACAGACAAAGCAGTAGGAAGAGTACCAGAGGTGGTGAGAAACTGTTTGAGCATGACCTCAACATCAGTTTGGGAGAAGACAGGAGTGGCCAGATATAAAGGCTTAGAAGAATCCGTAGCAGCAGTACGATGAAAAGGCTGAGATCTGGACTGATTTGAGGGACGATATGAACGACCCCGTGAAAAGCCACCACGAAAAGAGTGACCAGTAGGAGATGAACGGGTTGAATTGCAAAAGCAATCGGGCTCTCTATGACTAGGACCAACCTTGTTGCAGTACTGACAAGATCTGACTGGGCAATTGAATAATAGATGAGCAGAAGAGAGGCCACGATTTTCATAGTAATTGTATGAAATATGGTGTTTTCTGATAAATTGTAATCGATGGAACAACAATTGTGTTTTCTAGCGGTGTTGGTCTGACAGAACCTTACAGCTCTAATACCGTGTTAAATCCAATAACAATGGTTGAGAGAGCGAGAGAGAGAGAAATATGTATGAAAGAAATATGTATGTATTATGTGTGATATATATTAGAATCAATGTACAAATCTCTTCTATATATGGGAGAGATTATAGACAATCTACAGACAGCATTATCAGATTAGGACCTAAAGGTGGCCCAAAGTGTCCATCACACACTCATATACACTAACAAGTACTTTGACAAATATATCGTACCCATACCAGGGGTTGATACTTTGCATGTTAGACATACATACTCAAATTTTTTCTACTTAATTTTTGTCGTACCACAAACGTATCCCAAGTCGTACCTTAATCAAAATAGTATTTTCTTCTATATAGAGATAAAGTTAATTTCTTAGACTGCTTTTAATAATTAGCATGATTTTAAAATTAAGTTTTAGTTTCTAAGTTATTTAATATAATGAAATTTTATTTTATTTTGTACCTTCTGGCATTAAATGTGAATTGTAACTTAGATCTTAATAAACTAAACCATTTAACTAATTTTTGCATTGCTCCAAATTAAATTATTCTTTTTTATGAACGCATCCAGTTGTACCTGTACCGTACTTGTTTTATATTTTACTGTATCAACGTACATGTAGCATACCGATAACCATATTTGCTTCATAGATGTTACTACCTTCAACCCCCGAGTCCTATTAGTACCCCAAAAAATGCCTTCAAATGTACTGAATCTGCCTATCCTCCAAAGCTGTCTAAAACAGAGGATTCCACACCACTATCAGAAACTAACATATAACTGTACATTTAAGCATTCACATTCAAAACCAAAAGAAACGGGTTCAGTAACACCTCCCCTTAACAGTCTATGACTGTATAAACACACCACCAATCAAGCAAAAACCTCACTCCACCTCCATTGCCAGCCTTGAAAAAGAACTCTTTTGCAAAATTCATCCCAAACCCCCCTAATGCTGTGTTTGGTTGGGGGATTTGGAAAGGGATTTGGAAAGGGAAAGGGAAAATGTGTGTGAAACTATGTGAAATGTAGGTATATTTTTTTCACATTTCACCTACCTTTTCCATTTCCTTTTCCAAATCCCTCCTCAAATCCCTCAATCAAACACAGCATAAAGCTTATAATGTTGGAAGAAGAATTCAACTTCAATGCAAAGATGAGGAGAGAACTCAGAAATAGATGAATGATAAATTTCTACGCCAATTTGACCAAAAATACCTTCAGAAAAGTTATAAAACTCTAATATACATGTTACAAATTTACCTCTTCTGCTAACTCTCTCCCTACAGAAGCAACATCAGCATTTGAAGCAGCTGTACCCATGCTAACACTGCAAGAAAACATCAATAGAACAAAAGCAAGAAATACTATATTTGTGTAAGAATTGAAGAAAAAAATGGTCACGAAAGGGGCATAACCTGTACAATGGATCTATACGACCAAAAAGAAAAGGAAAATACCAATAACAAACATGATTTCAAGCATTACCCAAAGCCATTACAAAATGGACCAAGTATTTAGGTTAGTATGATCCATACCCGACAGTGTAGTGATGCACAAAGTCTGTAACAAAAAATTGACTTAAATTGTCTTAAAAGTTCAGCTGACACCTTGATATCACAATATGCATTGCTGATGCTGATATAAACCCACACCGAAACATTTTAATACTCCAAAGTAATATTCTCTGAATCCTAAATATCAGAAGACTCAGTGGGCCGTACAAATGACAAAAGAAATTTGAATAGGAAATGAAACAAGGATAATTATGTGGCATATTAATTCTTCACATGTTAAAGATGGTATAAAACATGTAAGGTCTCAATTCAATGATCAAGTTTGACAGGCCTGCACACATTGAACTTCAAACCAAAAATTCTTCCCCATTATAAAACAAAAAAAACAGGCTTTATTTATTTTTATTGAATTTTATGAGTACATAGAAGGACATTACAACTTGAAGAAATGTACCTAAATTCTACTCTACCTTTGTTGACTCACATTCCTGAGTAACTTCCCTTCATCTTGAGCTCAATGTGATGCCTCCTTAAGCTATAACTTGTTGGTTTGGTTACCCATACAATACAAATCTTGAATCCTCCGATTAAACAAAACAATGGAGGTTTAACTACCTCTCTAATTAAACAAGAATCATCCTTTTACAAGTGATTAAAATGAAACGCTTCTTCACATTTTTGAATTTTCAATTCCCACCATTATCAAAACTCATGAACAAAATGGGTACATATTACATCAGACTTTTTGTTTCACTCCCAATCTTCATCACTCAATTGATATTCAGTCTCTTCTCTTGGTGGCCTAACAACCAACACTACAGTCCCTAAACTCTCCTTTACACCATTTTCCTTCAATGCCAAACCCCTCTCGACCTTCAATCCATAACTATCATTACCATCACCATTATTTGCCACCAAATAAAACCCATCATCCACCTCCACCTCCTTCCTCCCCCGATCCGCCACAACCAAAATCGCCTCCTCCTTGTACCACCTATTTGCCTTCCACGGCAAAACCTTTGCATCCGCAAACGCCACCACCACTCCTCCTCTCCTCAACCCCACAACCGGTTCCCAACCCGGCAACACCACCCACCTATTCCACCCTTTCTCCGCCACCACCACGCCGAATTCCCCTTCATTCCCACATTCCCACGGCACCTCCTCCAACTGTCTCTCCATCTTCTCTGCCTCACAAACCGGCAACACCACCACCGTAGTGGACTCCGCCACTTCCCCCACCTTCATCCTCACAACAGGAACCCTAGCCCCATCTTCAACCCCAATTTTGTCCTTCCCATTACCACCACTCCCTTCCAAATCCCCCAAAACCCTCTTCTTCGCGGCCTCCGACACTGCAGTCTCCAACGCCACCTGCAACCCCGCCGTCCTCTCCTCCGACGGGTCTCTATTCTCTAGGGCTTGTCTATAATACATAAACGATAAACAATCACCAGGAAGAGCATAATCAAAGCTGTCCCAACCTCGATCTCCGCGGCGGCGAGGGAAGTCCTTCATGGCTCGAGCCAGATCCTGAGCGCCCTTCGCATCGAACTTGTTCTCGACGACGTAGCGTGCGGCGGCGGCGCGTTGGGAGGCGCTGAGGAGGCGAATCTCGTAGAGGAGCTCGGCGCCGCCGTTGTCGAAGAAGGAGAGGGTGGCGGGGTCGGTGGAGGATTGGATTAGGGAGTCGCGGACTTGGGCGGCGACGACGAGGCGGTTCTGGTCGACGCCGGAGATGCCGGTGATTTCTTCGACGGAGGAGGGAGAGAAGCCTTCTTGGAAGAGGGAGGGGATGAGAGGGGCGTATTCGAACCACAGGCCGAGACGGTTGGCGAGGATGTCCAGGCGGCCGGCGATGTCGAGAGAGCTGAATTTGGAGGGGAGAGAAGATGGGGGTGGGCGGAAGGGTTGGTAGAGTTGTTGTTGTTGTTGAGAGGGGTTGGGTGATGATGGGGTTATGGTGGCTGAGATGGGTTTTGAGAGTGAAGCTTTGTGGTGCTGGTGCTGGTGCTGGTGCTGGGGAAAGGGTAGAGGGTGGTGGGGGAGGAAGGTGGAGGGAAGAGAGAGGGGTTTGGGAGTGTTTACAGTTAGAGAGAACATGATGTCACAGAGAGAGAGTGTGTGTGTCTGGGGGCTGAAGTTCAGGAGTGGTAAGGAGAGAGACCTCAAGCCTTATCTGCTGAAAATTCTGATATTTGACGAGAGAGAGAGACAGAGAAAAGGGGGACATGAACCGGGTCCGGTTGATTTTTTTATTTTTTTACTTTTCTTTATAAATATTTGAAATGATCAAATCATATATTTTTAATTTTTTTTTTTTTTTTTTATAAAAGATGTATAAAAAATAGACAGATTTTATAATCTAAAACTAAAATAGATAAAAATATATATATATATATATGTATATACTTTCGTAATACACCCCAAACAACCTCTTAGAAAGTTGTTATTTACACTTCTTATTTCTTTGGATCCCCTACTCTTTTCATTTTTTTAATTCTAATTTTATCCAAATATAAAATTTCATTTCTACTCTTATTCCTAACTTTCTAACCCTAATGTCTCAAATCCTAACCCTAATTTCATCGGCCATCCCCATTACCTCTGGCAATCTTCTTCATCTCTCTTGATTGGTCGTCCATCGTTGGCCATTCATGTTCCTCCACATCTTCTGAAACCCTAACCCTAGCCCTAGGGTTTTAAAAAAAATAGTAGTGGGCGGTGATGACAACGACTTTAGACGGTGATGGCGATGATGGGTCATGATAGATAGAAGAAGAAGAAAAAGAAGAGAAGAGGAGGAAACGTCTTGAAACCTTCAAGGCGCTTGACATTGTCTTTAATGGTGGTGATGAAGGTGCAAAGAGAGAAGAAGAAGAGGATGAGGAGGGTTGGAGAGGAGGGTGTGAGGTGGGTTTTCATGGTGGTTGGTTTAGGTTGGGTTTCGAAGGGTTTGGGTTTGGAAATGGAGAGGGTGCAGGTTGCCGAAAGGAAGGTCACCAACGGTAAAGTGCTGCCGACGGTAGAAGGAGTTGCCAAAAGAATAAGAGTTGAAGATCCAAAGAATAAAGGTATAGATTGTATTAAGGTGGGGGTTCAAAGAAAATATGAAAGGGTTTCAATTATGTGAGTAGGGGTCAGAGAAATAGGTCCAAAGTAAATAGGTATGGGCATTTAGCAACCCTCAAGATTCAAGGATAAATTACAAATATACCTCCCTAAGGTATACTTATTGCCTCATATGATTGGAAAAATAATAAATTTTCCTTTGTAAAAAATTTTATTTAATAAAATTAACTAGAAAAATGAAATTTCTAACTACTTTTTTATACAATAGTAAAATTACCTAAATTATGAATTGAAATATATTTCTGACATCATTAAAAACTGTTAATTAATTTAATGATTTATTGATAAAATGAATCATTTATAAAATTAGAAATTTCAAGAGGTGTGATGTAATTTCCAAAATTATAAGAGACAATTCATATTTTAAGTATATTTATAATTTACCTCATATTTAAATACAATAATGTACATGTTTAGCCTAATTTGCTAGGTTGGATTTATAACTTTCAATAAAACAAAGTAAAAAAAATACTATGAACTAAAACAGTTAATTTTGCAAAGATTGTCTTTGTGCAATGAAGATTGTATTGATGTATTATGAGATTCATGTATATGTATAGAATGAATGAGTCATCAATTATATTTCTAAGTAAATTTTGGATAAAATTTTTCGATGTGTAGTATTACTAGTAATAAAAATCAATAAAAACTAGAATTTTATTGGACAGAAACAATATGGTAGAGATTTAACTTATATGCAATTCAAATAATTAAATAAAATAAAATAAAATATTTATTGTATAATGTGTTATTCAAGTGATAATAATCTTTTTCATTAAATCTAATGTCCAAAATTTGATTCTCACTCCTCTCAACATAAAGAGAGAAGATTATGAATTCGAGTTAGCTATTACAATAACTTCTTTTTTTTTGAAGAAAAAAATTAGGATTATATTAGATCTAATGTCCAAAGTTCAAATCTCACTCCTCTCAACATATGGAGAGAAGATTATGAATTCGAGTTAGCCATTACAATAATTATTTATTTTATTTTTTTAAAGAAAAAAATCAAGACTAGATACATTTGAAGAGCTTTATAGATATTTAAAATATAGAGTAGCGTTGAAATATATAAATAAAAAAAGGAATTAAGATCATTACTACAGAAAATAAACAACATTTTTCAAAAATTTGCATTCTATTTTCATCTAAACTGCGAAATAGAATTTTGAAGAGTTGTGACAATATTCAGGCATACAAAACATATTAGTCAGAGCTACTAATTGCAGATATCTTCTACCTTCAAATCTCCAATTTACTTCCATGACAGATAAATAACAGTACATTGTATCATATTCTTCTGCCAAACATTTTCATTTTCCATCACAAATTCCTTCATTTTCCCATCATCAGTTCTCAGTTACCTGACCACAATCTTCTATTGCAACCGTCTCCAAAGTCATCCCTTCATCGGACCCCACCTTCTCCATCTCTTTAACCACACCATAGCCATCCACAACCTTTCCAAACACCACATGCTTACCATCAAGCCATGGTGTCTTCTCAGTACAAATGAAGAATTGAGATCCATTTGTATTCGGTCCAGCATTTGCCATTGAAAGAATACCAGGCCCTGTATGCTTCAACTTGAAGTTTTCATCCGGGAATTTCAATCCATGGATTGACTCCCCACCAGTCCCGTTACCCCTTGTGAAGTCTCCACCCTGACACATGAAGTTGGGGATGATACGGTGAAACGTGGAGCCCTTGTAATGTAATGGTTTCCCTGATCTACCAATCCCTTTCTCCCCAGTGCAGAGGACACGAAAATTTTCAGCAGTCTTAGGGGTGACATCAGCAAATAGTTCCATTACAATTCGACCCGCTTTCATCTTTCCTATCAGTATGTCAAAGAAGACCTTTGGGTTCGACATTTTATTGAATTATCTGAAAATTTTCAGATCAAGACTTGGATTTCGGTAAAAGGGACTACATTCAAACCAAAGCTATATCAGTCAAATAGCAAACTAACAGTAGGATCAACAGTAATCTCAGAATTCTGATAATACTCTGAAGATTAAAAGTCAGAGTAAAGCGCTAATCATTCTTTATGTCATTGAGATTAATTAGACCAAAATTTTCAAATGTTCAATATATAGAATCAATGTAAACATAAATCTATAGTAAACCAACCAAACCAAGCTAAGCCTTAAGTCCCATCAAACAGAATCGGTTACATGAATCCTTTTTTTCCACTGGACTCTATTAATGGCCAATTGGTTAGTCAAATTAAAGAGATTCATATCTCTATTTACTACACTAACCCATGTCAATCTATGTTTGCCCCTTCCACTGACACTTACATCTACTGTTAGTATATCGCATCTCTTTACTACTGCCTTCGTATACTCTGTTGTATATGACCAAACCATCTCAATCTATCCTCTCTCTCAACTTATCTTCTATGGGTACTACTTCTATCCATTCACAAATATACTCATTTCTAACTATGTTTCTTCTAATCTTGTCACACATCCACCTTAGCATTATCATTTTAACAACACTCATCTTATCTACATGTTGTTTCTTAGTTGCCTAACATTCCGTTTCATACAATATTGCTGGTCTAATAACTATTCTATAAAACTTTCCTTTTAGTCTAGTTGGTAATCATTTATCGCGCAGTACCCAGACACATTCCTCCACTTAAGCCACCCCACCTTAATTCTATAGACCACATCCGCTCCAATCTCTCGCTTCAATCTCTCCAACCGTTGTGATAATCGATCCTAAATAAGAAAATTGTTCACTCTTAGGTAGTTTTTGTTCTCAATTTTCACTTCTCTTAAACTAAATGCTATGTTTTCACACATCAAAGGTTACAAAGTAGTATAAATTATGTAAGTTTTTTATTCAGAAATTTGTGGCTACTATAACTGCAATAGTAAGTTCAGATATAAAAGAACAGAACAACAAACACAGATTTGTTCTCTCACACACATGCACAACCAAAAGAAGAAAAAATCTCATCGGATCATAACTAGATTTAGACAAAATTGAGCATCAATGTAGTATAATTGGGTACAATACAAAATGAAAAAAACATGCAAAGGTGGAAGCAGCTAAATCATGGGTTCTACTCTCAGAAACAGAACATTATTTCAGAATCATTTTCCTGGAAAGGACTCTTATTTTTTCCTTTTCTTTCTTGAAGGCCCTGTGATGGTAACAGATATGTCACCATAATCTTTGCCCAGATCTCAACAATTAGCAAATTAATCTCTCTGCACTTGATTTATAACAACAATGGCTAATAAAATCCCAAAACCCTCCATCATAGGGTCTCCAAAATATGTCTTGCACCTAAAATTTACCTTCTATTTTCTTTCCACTAAAAACATTTCTCAAAATATTTTCCATCAAAACAAATGAAGCAGCACTGTACTGAAGAAACAAAGGAATAAAAGCATATCAAAGAAAAAGTTGTATGTATATATATATATATAACAAGAGAGCTTACATCAGTGTGAACTTCGATTTTGGGTATGCTCTGCTTGAGGAGAAGAAGGCGAGAGTTAGGGTTTTACATGTGCCAGTTAATTTATACCAGTAGAGGTTGGGGTTTAAGTTTTTTCTTTTTGCACTTATTCCCCTTTTATTGATAAATTTATTTCTTGGTCCTTTTATTTTTGTAAATATAATTCTTACCCCAATGGTTCTAAATTTTTTATTTTTTTTGTGTCAAGAGAAGGAAGGGGAATAGATAATAATGAAAAATTGCACTATAGCGACAACACTTTATTTTAGGAACTTGGAAAATGTCTTACAGCAATAATACTCAAACTCTGACATACCCATTAAAGGAGTATCCTACCTCAACCACTAGACAAACTCTTTAGGCTTCATTTTGCAATGTTGAAATTACCCATTTCAATTTTGTTACAACCATGGGAAAGGCTGCTTCAATTTTGCTATTGTGTTTGTATATTTTATTATATAGTAATAATGCAATTTAAATATAATCTTGTTAACAAGTCTTTTTAGACGCAAGAAAAAAATAAAAAGTAATGAAAAGTATAAGACACTTATTATTAAGGCAATAAATAAATCAAATCGAGTAATAAGTTATTTAAGATCTTGAGTTTGGTCCAGTGGTTTTGTAGTCACACCTTAGGATGTGATGAGAAAAAAATCAGGATTCGAGTTGATGGAGCAATTCTTTTTGTTATAATCTAATTTTATTAACAAATCAATATCTTACAATCTTGCCCAAAAAATAACTTATTTAAGCTTTCAAAATGTGTTCAAATTTAGATTGTTTACATAATAAGCTAATTTAAAATAAATTTTTAATAAAACCGAATACAGGTCAAATTTTATTTTTTTAATTTTTATGGTACATATAAACTTATCAAGCTGAGTAATTTGTTATTTAAACTTGACTTGAAAAACTTTAATAAGCTTAAAATTATGTTTAAACTTGACTTAACAAACCAAACCAATCTTGAACAAATTTTTAACATGCCAAACATAAATCGCTAGTTTGTTTAACAGGAGCACTTCTCATTAATTTCAAAACAATTTACATTGATTCCAAAAAGAAATACCTTTTAACCATTATCAAACTACTTTCCACACAAATTTAATATTAAACATCATCTCAATGGAACTTGTAGCATTTTCCATAAAAATTTATCCGAGCAAGGATAGTTCCAGTATGGTTCCCATAAACTTTAAAACCATTTCATAAGAACTGTAGATAACAAGGTAGGTTAGGTTGATTCTGAGAACTGATCAAGTAAATTAGGCCACCCAACAAGCACACACAAGCCACCAGAAAAATTAATCTGTTAAATTGCTGCTACATGTACAAAAATCAAGATGGAGTAATTTACAACTAATGAATAGACAATTCTATCCTTTCCCACTTTTCCCTTTTCTTTTCCGAATTGTCATGACTAATGCTGTGATACAAACTAAAAAATACATCAGCAAACAGAGCTCCGTGTCAGTCAACCAAGCCACTGTTGAGCACGACGATCCCCGCTACCTCCAACAGAATGCCGAATGCTGATCTTCTCATTTGCATATTTCTGCTGCAGCCACTCAAATCCATTCACATCTAGTTTCCCTGAAACCGACTTCCCTTGCTTCCTCCAAGTCTGCTGTTCCCGAATGGATGCCCAAAGTTTCCCGATAGCATCTCTTTGTTTAGTAGTGAACCTCGAAATGTTATCGAATGCATGCTTTACCAGGATATCTATGCCCGTTTGGCACCTTAGGAAAGAAAGATCGACACGTTAGGACGGGAAAGAAACAAACAATTAAACAAAAATAATAATAATTAGTATCAGGGTTTGACCATGGGGTTTTGTAACGTCGCGCAGCAATATCCAAACAAAGAATCAAGGCCTCTCTCTGTGATTTCAGAAATCTCTTGGTCTCTTCCTCTTCCTCCTTAATCCTGGTTGTCGCCTCTTTGTTTCCCTTCATTTTTTCATCTTTCTTCAATGTCCGAGGAATCAGAGCATCGAGCCCAAATGGATCCGAGTCATCCTTGTCATTTCCTTCAGATGTAGCATCTGGCTTTATCTGACTGTCCACTTCTGCCACTTCCATCTTGTCTTGCAAGGCAGCAGCTTCTTCCATGTCTTCGTCCTTGGTTGCAACCGGAAGGTTCAATATAGCTTCTTTTATTCGTCCAGTGGCTTTTGAAAACTAAAAGATGTCTCCCCACCCAAAGCAAAAGATGAGCAAGAAAATCAGTAGATTCAATAATAAAATTCAACAATTCACACAAAAACATGGTCACATATCAATCAAAACTTCCTAGGTCATGAAATTCAAAAATTGGTCACTCTAGAAACTTTCTTAACAAGGATATAATAATGAGATTGCAGAATGTTAACAGTGAAATATGTAAGTAGTCAACCAAATATCAAATAAATCATTTTCATCTTTTAGTATATTTACCAGAGGCAATAGTCATAGCAATCTATAGCAATCCTCTTCAACTACTTCAACCATTCATTTATGTTCTTTTTTTGTTTTATCGATAAGTACAACTGCTTAGATCATTTCCAAACACCACATAGCATTTTCAAACGGAATTATCATGAAGATTACGTATGCCAATAAAATATGCATTCCAGACAAAAAAGCATAGCAAACTCGGCAATATAAATTAACTAATACTAACAAATTAGCAATAAGAATCAAGATTAAACAACATAAACAGAGACTATAATTTGAAAAGGTACAAACAGAAAGTTTTCAAGTTTTTCACTTTTACGTCTCTTACTGCTCAGGCAAACTACTTCAACCAAGATTTTACTCAAGTTTCAATTACTACTCATCTTGGCACCAGATTTCAATGAATAATCTTCATACGTACCTTTCAGCCATAGTTTCAAATCGCGAATAGAATCATGAATTGAAATTACCTTCTTCCAAATTGTGCATAGTAAAGATTTGGTCATAATTTTTAAAATACATTAATATATATATATATATATATGCCTGAACAATTAGATATTAAAGATATATTAAATATATATAAAAAGCTTAGATATAAATAAATGAAAAGGTTGTTTTGAATGATGAGCACATGATGTAATAGCTAAGAGTAAGATAAGTTGCCTCTATGGCAAGAAACGTGGGTTAATCCCTAGAGTGATAAATAATCGTATAGTATTGATTATATGAGGATTTATGAAAATCCATAGATTTTTTGTACTTTCATTATGAAAAATAAGAATCCAAGACCCATCATTTGAGAAGATCAAAATTTCAAATCACTAAAGTTAGATAAATTTAACACATTACGCATTTATATATAATATTAAAACTACCACAAGATTCAGAATTTCTCAGGTTCCAATTCTAACAATTTTATTTTATAGAAAACCAAAAGTCCATATATTGCGCATATCAAAAATTTAACAATTTAATATACAAGAATAAATTTATACGCGTGTCAAAGAGAAACCATTCAAAAACGAAGGTTAGGAGACAAAAACTCGAAGCCTCCAAAACTCATTAATTCTTCAATCTTCATAACAATAAAAAATAAATAAATAATTTCTTCAAATTCAAATAATCTAAATACTTACCTCAAAGGACCCAGAGTACCCAAATCACCATATTTTTCAAACCTCACTTGATACACCTCCAAAGTTTTTTCTTTTGCAAGTAAAAACATGTGGATAAAGTTACATAGACTGATTCCAATGCGATTCCTATTTCCGTTGATTCATGCCTTATATGTGAATCGATTGCTTGGTGTATCAAACTTATCATGAATCATGTAATTATATAACAGAGCTTTCTTCTTTCATTCTTCTTTTCCAGCTTACTCTTTGCTGGACCATCACCAAGTGATTCAGAATTTGTAGTGAGGAGATCCACATTCAGTGTTGGATATACCATCATTCTTGTCTCTCATATTTTAACAGTGCCCGTATTTATCTGAAAGCCGTTGTACTGGTGATCTTACTGAAGCAAACAACTGTTTGATTGCCTCCTTTTCTTTCTAAGATTTTGAAGTCAACCCATTTGATTAACTTTGAGGACTCCAAATGTTTGTACCCTGGTGTGTAGTAGCATAAGCTCTGCCATATCATCTCCTCTAAATGAATTGACTCATCAAAACACGATGTTCCACCACCATTCCTTTCTTAATTAATGTTTTTCACTACTAAAAAACTACCCTAAATTCAAAAACTTTCCCTGGTTGATGTTACATTGGTACTTAAAAAGTTTCAAATATATGATCCTTAGTTGCACAAAGCGGGAGCGGGAGCGGGGAAGCGTGAGCCGATAGAAGTTTCTTAGGTTGGGAGCGCTTCGGGGAGCAGTAATATATATATATATATATATTTTAATAGTTATTTTTAAAATATGTTTATTATATAATTTGTCTCCAATGAGCTAAAATAATTCGCGCCAATGCAAATGAAATTGGCGCCTCATTTTTGCACACAAAATTTTGTTTTCGTCTCCTATACTTTTGAGAAAAATTAAAACAAACGACAAAATTAATATTTCGTCATCTTTGGGTTAAATTTTAAGACAAAAAAAAAAAATTTGTCACCAAATTTGTCACAATAGCCTAGATTTCTTGTAGTGGTATCAAGAAAAAAAAAAACATTCCTAGTTAATAATAAGCAAAACCATAAATAGAAAGTGCTAGAACCACCATGAACAAACAGAGCTGGCTACTGGACTTAAACCCCATGGATAAGGGCAAAGATGAGGCACTTTTATGAGGGTCAGATGAAGGCGATGGCGATGGCGATGGCGATGGTGATGGCGATGGCGATGGCGATGGCGATGGCGAGAAGATCGAAGGCGAGAGCAATCGCGAGCAGATTGCGAGGCGAGAGCAGATCGAAGGTCCAGGCGATGTCGAAGGTCGACATCGATGTCGAAGGAGAAGGCGACAGCGAGTTCAGGTTTCTTTCTCTCTCTCTCTCTCTCCCCCTTACGATCCCATCTTGAACTGGATCGCGTTTCTCTCTCCACAGAAATGTGATTCTTACACGTTTCTTTCTAGGAAGCGCGGAATCGCGATTCTTACTCAGAACGATTCTTACTCAGAATCGCCACCTCAGAATCGCCACCTGGTTGCACGATTCCTGCAACTAAGGTATGATCTATCTATCAACATGGAAGGGAACACAGAAAGCTCTTCCCCCCGACACGTGCATCATGCTAATAAAGAGGTGGTGGATAATTTTGTATCTCTTGCATTAGGGTTCTATATATTTATTTGCTCCTTGGAATAGCTATAACTAAATAGCTTTCAATAGGCCACAGAAATATGACATTTTCCTTTGGCCTTTCTAGTGCCATCAGATGTATCCTTTTCATGGGTTTCTGAATAAAGAAACTCAGATACTGACCTCCTCAGCTTATAGATGTGCCACACCCACACCCAGTCACCCAGCAAGACCATCTCGCCTTCCCACCATCTTTAAAAATTAATATAATGCGATACTTCTTTTGGCTTGGCTGCAGAGATCCATTTCCAACTGAATCTCATCTCAGCATTCTTGTTTCCAACAAACAATACCTGACACCATTTTCTAAGCCGTATCCCCCATTAATGTTCAGTTCAACAGTAGTCAATTACAGGCAAAGACACCAACTCCTTCATAAAATGTTCTCCAAAGAATATTGGCAATCATCAACTACTTTCAAGTAATCATTTTTTGCTTGATTATCGTAGTTACAAATTCAACAAAATGCCTCCTAAAGTGCTCTATTTTCACAGCATAAAAACTGTTCAAGGGAAAAATATATATTCAATACTCCATGACAAAGATCAAGGCAACACAAATCCACTGGACTTCTGTCTCTTTCTACTCACTCTATCCTTATCCAAGGACAACATAGACTACACCATTTTATTATTCAAAGCTTCACAATATTATTTTTAAAAAGGACTGTAAAAAGATAAAAACAAATCCCTTATAATTCATATCATTTGAAGGAAGCTTCAAAAATTATTATTATTATTTTTTTTAATAAATCCCTAAACCTCCAAATCATAAAGGAAACTAGGATCACATACAACTGAACTGAAGCCCAACAGCTTCACAGCCACACCAGTCCAACAAAGACAGCTCCAATATTCCACCAACAAAGAGAACCCAACTTGAATATCCTTAACTTACCTATCATAATAATAATAAATACAACGCAGAAGATCACAAAACATAAGTATTAAACCTAATAAGCATGGACACGGACATGGACAAGCGACATGACACAAATACGGAAACGCAGACACTCCAATTTTCAAAAAATGCAAGACATGACACGTGGAGATACACATGAAATATATAATTTTTTATATTTATTATATGTCATATATATATGAATATATCATTTAAAGATTAAAAAAAAAAATTTAAAAGCAATACGACAATAATTCCTATAAATTTATATGGTTTTTCTTTAATTATTGTATCTTAAGTTTTTTGTTCAAACTTATAATTAGTTTCACCCGTATCTAATCGATAGACACGTTTTAAGCGATAGACACAGGTGTCTTCCAAGAGTTCAAAGAGTGTTTGGGTCTTTAAAAAAAATTAAAACAATAACACACATTTTGATGAGTATTGGACATGTGTTGAGAAGCATCCAAAAGAGTGTCGGTGTCAGACATGAACACGACACGCATACGTCATCTTTTTAGAAGTGTCGGTGTTTCTTAATATTAAACTAATAAACAAGTTGATGAACTCCAAATTCAAATGAAGAATCAAATAGAGAGAGAAGACAAATGCCCCAATTAGGGGTAAAACCCCTAAGGGTTAAAGAGAGAAACCAAGCTCTACTCCAATTCAATGTATATTCTTTACTTCAAAGTTAAGTACAATAAGTATTAAATTACCTATTTATGGACTACAACAAAAAAGCTATTTAACATACACCTAATCTATTTATTCTACTACATCATACTCTCTCTCTCTTTAAGAAACTTGTCCTCAAGTTTAAATAGCAACTAAGTGTGCTCAATGTAACACCATGCATTGACCCTAGGGTAGGAATAGGCGTTGCATCTCCATGCTCACACAAACGTGTCTCCTCACAACTCATCCTTACGTGAATACATCAATCCGCTTCTTTGGCTAAGCAACCATAGGTGCAAACCAACAACTCCTATCACGACCATACTCCTCTTTGTTAACACTTGGACATACTCTCATTTTCCCGAGCCATTTCACCTCGGACATGCAGACCAGTATAAATGAGTACTCTTCCTATTGGAACATGACTACTAGGCTGGCAAATGATACCGTCCAAAACAAACAAGGCTGAAAGATGGGACACAATGCGACAGGATCGACATTGCAACTACTAGGTAAGAGCCACATGAGAAAAGCTAATCAGAATTGAGAAATCTGCATTGCGTTATTCCTTCTATCCCATAGACACAAACGTCAAATGAACATCACTGCCAACAGCATACTCAACTCAAACCAACATCTTATAGAGGCATATAGAAGCATGAAACACTTACAATTTCAAATAAACTCTTTGAAGCTTTCCAAAAATATCATTGTACCTCTTTCAAGACACAATTTGTTACTCATTTGTTTCAACTCATCTCAATGATTATGAGTTTGATTTGGATTTGCATCATTTCTTCCAATTGAAAGATTCATCTTTATTTGTCACCTAAATTCGCAGCAAATGCGCTAGCATAGCCTCCTTTGCGACCTCTATCTTTGCCTCTGTTGGCCATTATTGTATCAACACAGTAGCAAGAGTTCAAGGATAAAGGCTGAAACAGTCTGACTCAATTCACACTAGACAAGCAAAACTTAGAGACAACAACTGATTAATATAATTCTGAAAGGATCTCCACCAACCGACCACCAGAATCGAATTACAACAACAAAGTTGAAGAATGAAAGATTCACACCCCAAGTGGAAATCAATTCACCAAGAAAACAATGATTCACAAAGGTTGGTAATCACAGGGATCTAACGGTTGAAATCAACTCAAATTCAAAATTGCATAACAAGATCGAAACAGGAATCCAATAATAAAATTCAGATTTGAACTCAAACCTTCATGTGCAGTGGAACTCAACTCAAATCAATGATCAAAGTCACACAGACTCAGAACATTGAAGTCGCATGAGGTCTCAAATCGGAATCACTGTTCGCAAGTTTCAGATCTCAACCAGGGAGTCCATTCATGTTTGGTTCTCAATTAGAGCCTTCGGAATCAAGTCGGATCTTGAAAAGTTTCTTGGATCGATTGGGTGGAACTTGAGTAGGCTTCATAGGCGATTCGAAATGGATCCAGATTTGAATTCCTAGAGTCGCAAACTCAGATCACAAATCGAAACTCAGATTGATGCTGGAACAAGACTCAGATTAAGTCGAAAATGGTCGATCTTGAACCCTGGGTGATTTATTCAAAGTTGCGAAACCAAGTTGCGATGTGTTCTTCAAATGTGTTCTTCAATTTTGAGTTACAATATATTCTTCACTTTTGAAAAAGGAAGTCGACCACAGATTATGGGTTTCAACCTTGAAGAAAGCCTAAAACTCTCGAACAGGGATCTTAAAGAAAGCCCAAGTATTGCAAAAAAAGGAAGTCGACTTCGCAGATTATGGGTTTCAACTTCGAAGAAAGCCCAAAACTCTCGAACAAGGATCTTGAAGAAAGCCCAAGTATTGCAAACCAAATGCGAACCAGAACCAATGAACAGAGTCCCTCCTTCGTCCAGTGGAGTCGATGAAAGTCTAGTCAGATTCACAAGCTCTTCAGATCGTGACTTCCACTTTAGAAGAGAGATCAGATCGCGATGGTAATCCCCTGGTTTTCTGACAGATTTGAACAGGGGTTTGAACTCGAATGAAGGCTCCGAACAGATATGTAAATCAAATTGTGGCTGTCTAGCAGGCTGCGATCTCAAATCGCCTGAACCCAGGTGCCTCAACTGTGTGTTGTGACAGAGATTGAACCAGGTCAGTTTCTAGGTGATGATTCAACTCAAAAATTGGAAGAATAGTAGAAGAATAGGATCCAAATCCTAAAGATCTGATACCAAATGATGAACTCCAACTTCAAATCAAGAAGAATCAAATAGAGAGAGAGAAGACAAATGCCCCAATTAGGGATAAAACCCCAAAGGGTTAGAGAGAGAAACCAAGCTCTACTCCAATCTCAATGTATATTCTTTATTTCAAAGTTAAGTACAATGAGTATTACACCACCTATATATAGACTACAACAAACAAGCTATTTAACATACACTTAATCTATTTATTCTACTACATCACAAGCATAGATAAAACATCTCCAAGCAGATACACTAAATCAAAATGTGATCCAAATGTAGAGGTCCTAAATCTCTGACAGTAATTGGATGATAAATATTTTTTATTCTGATTAATGAAATGTTGCACGATATGACATGATTCATAACATGCATCATTTTATTTTTTACTAGTTTTTAGTAGGTGAAAGGAACGGGACCCAACTCTAGAGAAACTTGGTGGTGGAGGGAAGAGGTTCAAGCGGTAGTTAAGGCAAAAAAAAGTGCTTTAAAAAGTGGCAAAAGGATAGAACTGAGGAAAACCTTAACAACTATAGATTAGCTAATAAGGAGGTCAAGAAAGTAGTGAGAGAGGCTAAGTTGAAACCTTATGATTACGGAGGGAGAGAAGAGGGTATACAAGCTTGCTAAGATATGGGAGAGGAAAACAAGAGATTTTAATCAAATTAAGTGCATCAAGAGTGAAGATTCTAAGGTATTGGTGAGGGATGATGAGATTAAGGAAAAATGGAAGAACTATTTTGAGAAACTATTAAATGAGGAACATAGAGGTACTGCAATAGAGGAAAAAATAGCCAGTAATACTTTGAAGTAAAGATTGCACTTAAAAAGAAAAAATCAAATAAGGCTTTAGGACCAGATGATATCCCTATTGAAGTTTGGAAGTGTTTGGGTAAAAAGGAGATTGCTTGGTTGACTAGGTTGTTTAGTAAAATTTTGTTGACTAGGAACATGCCAGATGAGTGGAGAAAGAGTATTTTAGTGCCAATCTATAAGAATAAAGGTGATGTCCAGAATTGCAACAACTATAGAGGAATCAAACTAATGTTTCATATAATGAAAGTGTGGGAGAGGGTGATAGAACGTAAATTGTGAGATATAACGGAGGTGTTAGAGAATCAATTTAGGTTTATGCCTGGCAGGTCAACAATGGAAATGATCTATCTTTTGAGGAGAGTAATAGAAAAGTATAGAGAAAAGAAAAGAGACATTCATATGATATTTATCGACCTTGAGAAAGCATATGATAGAGTGCCTCAGGATATAATATGGTGGGCGTTAGCAAAGAAATGGGTGACAAAAGGTTATATTGATGTGATTAGGGACATGTATGAAGGGGTGGTGATCACTATTAGATAGCCGGCTGGAGAGACAAATGAATTTCCTATCACTGTAAGATTACACCAAGGATCTACTTTAAGTCCTTATCTTTTTGCATTAGTTATGGATGAGTTGACAAAAAATATCCAGGATGACGTGCCGTGGTGTATGCTTTTTGCAGACGATATAGTGCTAGCGGATGAGACTAGAGAAGGGGTTAATACAAAGTTGGAGATTTGGAGAAAAACTCTTGAATCTAAAGAATTTCAGATAAGTAGAACTAAGACAGAATACATGGAGTGTAAATTTAATAACAGTAACAATGAAAGTAGATGAGAAGTGAAGATTGGGAATCAAGAGCTGCCTAAGAATGAACATTTTCGTTATTTAGGGTCGATTATCACAACAACGAGAGAGAATGATGCAGATGTGGCCCATAAGATTAAGGCGGGATGGTATAAGTGGAGAAGTGCGTCTAAAGTACTGTGCGATAAACGAATACCCAATAGATTTAAAGGTAAGTTCTATAGAATGGTTATTAGACCAGCGAGATTGTATGGGACGGAGTGTTGGGCAACCAAGAAATAACATGTATATAAGATGAGTGTGGCCGAGATGAGAATGCTAAGGTGGATGTGTGGCAAGACTAGACAAGACAGAATTAAGAATGAGTGTATTCGGGAATGGGTAGGAGTAGCACCGATAGAAGATAAGTTGAGAGAAAATCAATTGAGATGGTTTGGTCATATTCAATGGAGACCAACAGATGCAGTACTGGAGAGATGCAATCCTGTAACAGTCGATGGAAGTGTTAGGGGACGGGATAAGCGTAGATTAACGTTGATTAACGTTGTAAATAGAGATATGGATCTACTTAATTTGACTAACGAAATGACCTTTGATAGGACCGTGTGGAGAAAAAGAATTCATGTAGCCGACCCCATTTGATGGGACTTAAGGCTTAGTTTGGTTTGGTTTTAGTAGGTGATAGATAGCAAACACCTTATTATGTGTGATATAGCATCGCACAACGTGTGAAAACTCCATAAATAAATTCATGCTTCTTTCAGCCTAAAATAATATGAGAATTTAAACCTGAAAATTTCGTAAGTAACACAATTGATGCAGTATACATAATTAAGAGATTGCTAATAGAAAAATTCATAGTATCCTTGATGCTTAAAATTGCAAGCAAATAACAACCAACAAAGTTGTAACAACATCTACTATAAGTGAAAAACATACCACAAAACTGTCATCGGTAAATAGATCATTCGCCACCACAGCCCTAATCATCCATGTAGTTAATTGATTTCTCTGCTTCTTGTTAAAACACTACAAAAGCAAATGATAGTAAAAGTTGAGCCACAAAACGCATCACAAAACTTTCAAGGAACTAAATATTCTTAAAATTTGTATATCAAGTACTTAATACTCACTTCAACTGCATCTTGTGCTGCTGAGAACAATGCATGACAATCCGCTCTTACTGAAGCATCGTTACAAACAGTAGGTGACAACATTGCAGACTCCAGTATGGCAAAGAAGTAGTCACTCACTCCAGGCTTAACACTGCCAGCCTGAATCAGTTGAATAGCAAGCTTCGATGCCTTACCAAACTTGGCAGGGTTCTTTATATGTGATGATATCTTCTGCATGGCCTCTATAACTTGCGTTTCTGAGGCATCCGTTGTTGTTTTAAATCTCAGTCGTTTTTCAGGCACAGTAACTGGAATTACAATAAACAATTCAGCTTCTCTTTTAAATGTGAAAGGCTATTCAAGAAAATCAACATCTAATATTACTCAATTTTACAATTTCAACTCGGATGTGAACCAAGCTTGAACTTGGCTAAGAGGCTTGTTTTGTTAAATGAGTTGGGAAGTCGGGCTATCGATGGCTTGGGGCAGGCCGATGAACATGAATTGAACTATGGTAAGGTGTACAAAATATCATTTGCAAGGTTAGGAATAATCAATCAAACTATATGTACAAGTATTATCAGCTTAAATCGCAGTCTCATTCTTCAACAGGCATGCAGTCAGAGCCCCGGGCTCCTCCCACTGCATGGGAGCTTATGGTTTCATGTTCTATTTCACTCCCTGATGGGGATTCTTTTCTCCCTTCCCTCACGGTACTACTTCACTATTGGTCACCCTTCTATTAACAGATCCAATAGCCAATCGTGGAAAGCCATGTGCCAAAACCACATGAGACTTCAATGTACCATATCATACCTCATTTTTACTGGGAAAAGCATAGGGTCTTCAACTACAGTTACGACACAACTTCAAGGTTTCTTAGGCCTGGTTATAAAATTTCCTTCCTCTGTTTGTGCGCACGCATATATACATACACTTTATTTTGTTTGAATCAAACAAATCCCTACCTTTTGATTGTCAGTGACTGTCACGAACATCAAAGTATTCAAACCAAGTTGAGATGAGCTCAAGCTCAGTTAAAACCTAACTAGCCCAGCTCAAAGAATGTAAAACGGACCAAGATAAGCTCAAAGACTCCACTATTCGGCTTGCCTAGGTTCAATTGCAGCCCTAATTCAAACCCTATTAAAAGATGAAATCATTTGGCATGTAGAAAAATAACAATAACAACAACAATGATAATAAATGGATCAAGGATCATTTCTTTTTCTTTTTTGTAATTTTGTTGCCCAAACAGATATATAGATGTCTTAGGCTTCTTCAAGTAGACTCTTTTGTTTCCTAAAGGAGAGGAGGGGGGATTTGTTCCTTTACCCAAATTTTCTGAAAAACCAAGAAGGGCCAGAAGTAGTAAAAATTAATCAAAGATTCATCAACAGATATATATATATATATATATATACCTACTATAACCGCCCTTTAAACTACAAACAATCAAATTGGGCAATATGATGGAAACCCTTTCAAACCAAATCAGAGATCACTAAGTAGCCCTACAAATTACACAAAAGTAGTACCTTGAGGTTGAGATTCAGAAGGTTTGGAGCGTTTGAGAGCGCTCTTGAGGGCAGGTATCGGTAGCTTTGGCAAAGATTCTTTGGCAGCAGCGGTGGTGATCTTTGAAGATTGTTGTTCCACAGAAGGCCGAGGAGGAGGAGGCGCAGAAGGAGGTGGTAACCCTTGAAATAGGTTGTCACCCATTGTTCTCTCTCTCTCTCTCTCTACCCTCTGCAAGTAGAGTTGAAATACACAGAACCAGAACCCACTTTGCTTTTGGTTTTTTGACAGGCACTTCGCTTTTGTTTGATTGATTAATTTATCACGAGTGAAAGAGATGATGGGAGTCGGGGTTGAGTTTTCCAGCCCCTCCGGGTTGAGCCCTGATTTGCCTGAAAATTCTCTTCATTCTTTTTCACTTTTATCCCTAGATCATAGTTTTTTTTGTTTTTTATTTTTGGACCCAAGCTTGTCTCCCCGTCTAATCGGATAAATTGATAAGTTGAATTATTTAATGTGTAAAATTTGTTGTGAATTTTATTTTTTTAAAAAAATTATGTTGATTAAATATTAATAACTTATTTTGAAATATGTTTTTTTATTTTGTTAAAATAATTAATAAAAATAAAATAAGTTAAAATAATCAATAACCTAAAATGTAACGTTCAAATTATATTTATTTTATTTTTTCTCTTATAAATATCAAATCAAATATAAAAAAAATAAAAAACTATCATCTAAAACATAAATTTTTTTAATCAAATTAAAATAGCCAAACACACACACACACAAAAGTCAAGTTCCCAAGCAGGACTTATTCATTTCCATGTTATCTTTAAATATGGGTTTGACTTCTCTTAACTTAGTCATCTCAATTTGAAAAAACGTTCAGACTTATAGGCTCATTTTAACATAATTTTTTTTTAGTCAGATTAAAATAACTAAAAAAAAAAAAACTAAAATAATCAAGTTCCCAAACGGGACTTATTCCTTTTCATGTTATCTTTAAATATGAGTTTGACTTCTCTTAAGTTAGTCATCTCAACTTGAAAGAGCATTTGAATTTATAAGCCCATTTTAAGACAAATTTTGGTGATTCAATCACTTTTAAAAACTTGTTAAGTACAATATTTATGTAAAAAATCAAAATGATTGGACATCGATAACTATATATTTGAATAAAATTTATATTATAAAAAAAAATGGATGGCTACTTGTCTTTTTTTTAAAAAAAAAATAAATATGATTCAAACATATAACTACTCATATTCAATCATTTTAATTTTTTTACATGAATATTTTACTTAACAAATCTTAAAAAATGAATGATTTGAATTACCAAAATCAATTTCAAAATGAGTCTACCAAGCTCAAAAACTCTCTCAAGTTATGATGGAAGTCAAACCTTTCAAATATCTCAATTTTATAAATCCAATTTTGTTCATATATTTTTATAAACTCTATCAATCATAAGGTGCTCTCTTTAGGATATTTCTCTCTCTCTCTCTCTCTAAGAAGTTCTAGTTGTTCTCTCTTTCTTTGCTTGATAGAGGAAAGAGAGTGGTATTTTGAATCTTTTTCTCCCCTTTGTTTTTTCACTTGTGGTTTCTGTCACCATAGTAGTCACTACTGCTCATCTTGTCTCCATCATCAGCTTGCCAACGAGGAAGCTTTCAACGATTTCATTCATAACCAAGATTTGATACTATTACACGCATTGTTATATGATAGACAACCACCTCAGATCCAAAATATTTTATTTTGTAACGTAGAGGCCACGATTAAGATACTAAATGTAACGCTCCAACTTCCAAGCCGTTAATAAATCAAATCAACCTCAAATTTAAAATACTAACTAATTAATAACCTCAAAAATGCAAATTAGCTCCAAAATAATTACACAAATGTCTACAATTTATAATTTATACAAATCTCCAAAAATAATATATAGTGGTAGGCCCAAAAATCTCCAATGGCTCGGATAGAGAATAAATTAATAGGGATCCAACAATTTATGACATGGCACAAAAGATTCGATTTGAGAAATCAAGCAATTTACCAAATTGCACAGACAAGTCAACTCGACATATAATAATTTATCCAGGACCAAATACTCGGTCCTACTCGGTATATGATTAGTGACCAGCCTAATCCGCCTCACCCAAACTCAACCGCTTATCTAGGCTATTGGTCTAAGCTATTGGCAAGGTCCACTCAATCGATGTACGGAGCATTTTCATGCCATTTAACCAGACAAATCAACACTAATTACACAGAACAACTTCACAGAGTTTATCAAATGACTAGAATAATCAAACGTATCAACATGAATGATTTCACAGGATGTAACATATGACCATGATAATCAAGATGAGTACAAATGTGAAGTAATTAAGATAAGAACTCTTTGCAAAGCGATTTAGAGGAAGCATATTTTATACCACCAAAATTATCTCAAAACAATTCCATGACCACTTGCTGCAAAATCCCTCCAACACCAATACTTTAATCATCTACTATATCACTATAAATCTCCAAAGGTTGTGGATCCAAAAGATATCTAAAGTTTAACAAAATCTACAATTCTCCTCTTGAACAAAATGCTAACTCTCACTCTAAATACTCTTAATCTAAACTCTAAATTTTGATCATAAAGAAAGAGAGAGAAAGAGAGATACAGATGGACCAAGAAGAAGAACCATAAAAAGAAGTTGAGAGGATGAGTTCAAATTTATAGGCAAAACAAAGAATAGTCTCCAAGTAAACTTGGAGAGCAAGAAAGACAATTAACTTATAGGCAAAGAAAGGTTGCTTGGAGGGAAAGAAAAGAACGTTTGTTTAGAAGGAAAGAAAAGAACCCAAGCAAACTAAATAAATAAATAAATAAAAGAGATGAATAATGATAATAATGAAATCGAGGTAAAAAGAGATAAAACAAATAGAGAAAATAAGTTAGATTCTCATTTAAAAATCTTACCACCAAACTACCACCAATATCTCTCACTAAAATATTAATACCTCAAAAATATAGGATTTCGCACTAAAGTTATCAATTGTGGTGATGAACGATGTGATAAGTATTGTTTGTTTGGTAGTGATCATTTTATTTATTTATTTATGTTGCAATAATATTTCTCTATATGGAGGTCTCCTCTTTTCATGTAAGTTTTCTCCTTTATGGAGACTCGTATCTTTCCTACCTAGTGGTTCTTTTTATCCTTTTTAGAATCTATTTGGTACTCCGATGTATTTTACTCAATAACTTACTGTCAAATGTATAATATAATAAACTTTGTGATTTTCCATAAAAAAAAAAAAACTCCATCAATCATAAAGTGTGTTTTGTTCGCACATATTAAAAGCGTGTGAATAAATTTATTTTTCAATTTTATCTATATTAGTCTCATTAATTTTTAGTTTTAACTAATATGATGCAATTAAAGTCTAATTTCATAAGCCATGAATGACAAACAAGCCTAGTTTCATGAGCAAAAATATTATTTTTAAATTTGAACAATTTAAATTATATAATTGAATATTATTTCATGGTATTAGTCTAATAGGGCTGTTTGGTACGGTTTATCTGAGCTGCTTGTATAACTTATTTTATTTTGACAGTCTATATCAGACTATTTATAGTTTCTATTTATTTCTATTTATAATTTATTAGGCATATTTAACTTAAATATATTGGGGGGAACAAGAAAAAGAAAAAAAAAGAAGAAGATGGTGCTTTCGATTTCTGTTTTTTATTATGAGCTTTTAACTTATAATAAGTTAAACCAAATAAACCCATAAGAGTAATAAAATGAGTGATTGGTAGTGTGATTTAGGTTGTTTAAATTATAAATTACCCTCTTGCTTTCTAAAGTTAGATTTTCACCATTACTAATTTGGATGGATTATCTCCAATTGGATTATATGAATTGAATTCAAAATTCCAACTACTAAAAGGATGAAATTAAAAAATTAATAAAAAAATAGTTTAAGGAATAAAATGAAACTAACCCTTTTGTTTTAATGAATATGAATAATGTTTATAATTCATTATTTTTAGATTTATTAAAAATAGTAAGGAACATTTGTAACCTATAAATCTCTTTGGAGGTGTGCAACAAACACATAACATTTTTATGTATTTTTGTGGTACATATTATGTAATTTTCTGATAGAGTTGCGATAATTAATGATTCAAAAATGAAATTACATATTTTGTAATAATGTTATACATTTTAGTTCAAAAACATTTCGATGAAAAGACGTGTAATATTCCCACAAAAAATGCATAATGTTGTCACAAAAATGTGTAGTTTTATTTTTGAACCACTAATTGCCATAAGCTCTTCCATCACTACAACAATTGGCACTTTTGGCAACTAAATTTTTAGTCGCCAAAAGTCAATTTTAAGTTGCCGAAGGGTTTTAGAGACTAAAATATTTGGTCGCAACATTAATCATGGAAGAATTGTCGGGAAAGATATTTAGTCGCCAAATGTAATAAATTCCCAACTAATTTTTTAGTCGTCAAAAGTATTGAAGTAAAATTAAATATCACATTTTCAGCGACTAAAAATCTTTTATTTTTAACGACTAAACATTTAGTTGCCAAGAATTTTTTTTGGTACATCCTATTATTTTTGTAGCTACTAAATATATTAGTCGCCTAAAGTAACTATTGTGTCTTGGCTACTAAGATTTGAGTTGCCTAAAGTCTCTTTTTTTTTTTTTTGCCTACTAAAAGTTTAGTCGCCTAAAGTCTGATATTTTTGGCTACTAAGATTTTAGTCGGCAAATAGTTTGTGTTTTGGCTACTAAACGATTGGTCCCCTATAGTCTCACATTTTTCACAACAAAATTTGTAGTTGGCAAAGGTTTTTTGTTGTTCGGCTTATTTTTTTTTACCTATGAAATATTTTAGTAGCCAAATGTCTGATTGCTTTTTGGCTACTAAATTTTTAGTCACCAAAATTGTTTTCCTAATTTTTTTAGTTACTAACAATTTAGTCGCTAAAATATGTACTTCCTTAGTCACCAAAAACATGATCTTATGTTTAATCGCAGCATTATAATTTCTCTACAACATGTCTGTATTTCATGCAACCTGTAATACATATATAAACAAAAACAATACATATACTATCAATCATTCTACAATCTACATCCATTTTACTTCTAACCATCCGAAAATGAATAACTTTAAATGTCAAATTCCAAACAAACTAACTATTGTCCAAACTAAAATAATAATTCCATACAAATTATAGAATCATATACAAAAATCCAGCCCTCCATATACAAAAAATACATTTATTACCATGCGAAAATGGCGCGGTACAAATTACCATTATAATCTATACCACGACAAAAGGTGATCTACGTACCATGACAAAAAGTGATCTATGTACCACGCCAATGATTAT